CTGTATAGACCAGTAAGTTTCAAAAGTAGGTAGCATTCACATTTAGTAATGCTATAAGTATTATTATTTGTAATAATTTGTAATACGTGGAACTGGATGGTATAGACTATACATCTTTTTAAAAACACATTATGTACAGTATATCATATATACTGTATATGGATAGTATGGATAGACATATAACAAAATGAGACTTTTTGAAAAATAGAATTTACTGTATTTAATACTTTTATTAAACTTTTATTATACAAAAATGGTCCCATCAATTACTATTATTCATTATGAGTGTGCTTATTCATTATAAAAGTTTAATAAAAGTATTAGATACAGTAAATGCTATTTTTCTCATTTTGTTATGTCTATCCATATACAGAGATATCAAAAGGAGCCAGGTTATCCATTGAAAAGCAGAACATAAAAATATTGACATCAACATACTTGAAATAAAAATACCTTTAAAATATAATTATAAATTCTCTATCTAAATATCATAATATAAAATAATTTAAACTCATAATTTAAATTATAAACTCGAATAATGAATTTGTAAGTATTGTAAACATATAATAGAATAGAAAGAATGAAACAAAATATTTTATTTTGTAAAATATATAGCATTTTATAAATAACATGAAAGAATATTCTGACATATTATATATCAAATAAACCTTAACTATGTCTACAATTGCGTCAAAATTGAAGAATCACAGAATCACCATGACCCTTTTAGGACATCTCTGTATAATATGAGATTGATCATTTAGTAACAAACATAATACAGTACAATAAACATAGTATTATTGATTTATATGTTTTAAAGTTTAGCAATTACAAAATTAAATTACTAATTGCTTAAGATAAAAAATTATTCGAATTCCTGCTATAAATGTACCAGATTCATATTGTATTATAATAAATTAAAAATAATTAACTTACGAGTGATGTAATGAGATAACTGTGTATTTCGGTCATCATTCCCACCTGTTGTGCCTAACAATACAATAATATTTTCCTCATTAGTTATTTGATATTGTAATCAAAATTAACGAGTAAATTCTATTTTATTGCTATATAACTACATATAATGTTCATGATTAACATATTCCATTTAATGATTCATATGTGCCGAACCTAAAAGTAATGATTAATTTTTAAAATTTAATTATTGAAAATAAATGACAGTTCAATTTTTAGTTCAAGATTTTAAAAATATTTGCCAAAAACATAAATAATAAAAGAAAAAAGAATTTTTCTTTGAGTAAAATATCCTTTAGGGAGTCGTTTGGAAACTGAATTTTATTCCAATAAATGGATACCCATTATATCCTTACATGGTTTGTATGTATGTGAGCGAGAGAGGGAGAGAGAGAGAGAGAGAACTTTATTTGAAAGCAATAAAAATAAGAATAAAATTTCATGTTTTCTGACAAAGTGTTTCAAAATTAAATAATTTAATTGAAGTAAGTTTTTTGTTTCAAATATCTGATAGGATATTCCGAGAAGTGTATTAGAAAAAAACTTTAATCTTAATCTTCCAACATTGCTTCAAACTTTACATATAATTTACATGTAAACTTTTTTTAATGCAACTTTTTATAGGTCAACAATAGTTAACTCACTCACTATTAACAATCAAATTAATACTCAATTAATATTGAAGGCACCAGGGTATCGAAATAACAAATGACAGCTAAATTAGAAAAAAAATTATTCAAATTATCCATAACCCACTAAAACATACTAAATAAAATAATAAAATATTCCATTTATATTTATAATAACATTATATATTATTAAAGATATTTTGATCATTAAATAAATTGAACTGTTTATTGAAATGTAATAATGTTTGAGAAAGTTCCACCTAATGACCACAACAAAGATTTTGGATAGACCAGGATAAGCTAATATAACATAATTACTACGGTAAATGTATTAAACTGATTAGTAGGTGATATGATGGAGATTCCAAAATGATTGAAGTAAATGTTGTCTCAGACAACTTGTCTGTCTATGACTTTCAATCATTTTCTTTTGAATCACAATATCATAATAAATTCATTTTATAAATCAATTTCTATTGAAATGGCTATGAATTGCAGACAATTCCACACATTAGTTGCCAAACACTAAACTATGGGTGAATATGTCATTCAATTACCACATGAGTAGAGATTACACAGAAAGGGAGGTCTCTCTCTCTCTCTCTCTCTCTCTCTCTCTCTCCATTATGGGTTCACTACTATTTGCTAACGTTTTCATCAAATGATCTGTCATTAAATAAAAATAATGATTTGGCTTAAATGTCACTTCACGGCAATCATCTGAAAACTGAATTGAGTTGATAGCGAATGTAGTGTTATATTTGATATTTTGCTCGTATTTTCGTCATTTAAATGTAAGTTAATTGTTTGAATAATTAATTAAGAAATATATCTTCAATTTTAATATTAAGTTAATATTTGTATAAATTTTTAAACTTACATACAGTATATTAAAATTGATAAGCAATCATATATTAAAAGAGAGATGAAAATAGTGGTCGTTTTAAAAGCACAGATATATAATATGTTTAATTAAAATAATTGATTGTATTGGTAATGAAAGTAAGGCAGTCCTACATGTCTGAGCACATTGACCAGATTCTGACGCTTCACATCGAGAACAATATTGACGACTCGAGTCTTGGATTTATTGATCTCCCAGAAGGTATCTCTATAGGGCTGTCCCGATACAAACTGGTACAACAATATCTGCCAATTATTACGCTCGGCCTCCTTCAGGAAGTCTTGAACTCGGATTATCCCTGAAATTGAAAGTCATTATTAATTGAATGATAATACTAGAGTACCAAACCTAAAGTAATTGACTTAACATTCAAGATTTGGAGTGTTTGTCAATTGACAGAGTAAGGGATAATACTTGACATTATAGTGACAAGTATTTTAATTTTACATAAAATTAAAACAAAATTATTTAAAATTTTAAGTAAACCATCCAAAATCATATACTAGTAATTTATTATGTATTACTATATTTAATTTTAACCAACTATATTTAAAACAACTTAAATTCATCTAAAAAGTTGTTTTTATTTTTAAATATATTTTGCTAAATATAAATTTATACAGTAATTCAGTATAATTTTACCTACATTAAATATTAATTGTTAACAAGCAAAACTTATTTATAAAATTGAAAAGTATTTTGATTTAATTACAATTAAATTTATCAATTGGGCAAATAAATTATGAATACTAATAAAAAATTTTATTAAAAAGTAATCTTAAACGAGATTATAAAAAATTTGTATTACTGGTATAGTATTAATATATGAAATTTTTTCTAATTTAAAGTGAAGTTTATAATTTATAAATTATGGAAAATCATACCGGTACTTCAAAATTAGAACACTTATGTTCAAATTGCATTGTATTGCATGATATAGTGTTTTCTCAAAAACATCTATTATTTATGAGGTTGCAATTGAACACACTTTAATGTAAATATTATGCATTGTTTTTCAATTATTTGTAAATTGAAAGATTTTGAATTATTGTGCAATTATTACACTTAACTTTAAAAGTATGAATAATTTTATTAATCCAAAATGTGGGGATTGCTCTACATATTTATAAAGTGGACTAATATCAATATATATATATATACAATTGAATGAAAACTGATTGAAATGATTACTGTATATTTAAGATATTTAAGGAATTGGAAGACATTATCAGTAACTTACTATGGTAAGTTATTGTAATTAATAAGTATCATATTATATCTCAACTATTTGATTGTTAACGTAAGCATTAAAAACTATTCTAAGGCTTTCGATATTATATTTATTTACATATCATATCGATTATGATTAGATAAGAAATTTCATAACTTATGATATATTAAATATTATACAATGTACTCTACTTTATAATATTATAATCTTGTAATAATTAACATTTTAAAATTAAAAAAGTACTGTAAATTAATGAAGTTAAATTCTCATTGATATGAATATTTTCAATGTGAATGTAATATTATACCGGTACATAAATTACCAATTTATCAATTTATTACATTTATTAATCGCTATTGGCAATAAGTGTATTTTATACACATGTATGAATGGTTTTAAAAGTATTTTTACGGTAATAATTATTTTGCTTGAATGACAATTATGTTACTACAGTAATACGATAGTATATGATAGTAACTTACTATACTGTAAATGTACCGTATTTTTATGAAAAATTGATTAATATTTATTTTTAAATAGATAAGACTGATTAGTAATAGTAGTAAACTAAAATTTGATAAAATTATCCAAGTGAACATAATTTATTTAATTGCACTGCAATAAAATTACCATGTTTATGTAATACCATATTAATACAGGTATGTATAAATATGAATAAAAATAATATTTATAAAATTACCTTCATTATTTTCGTATGCGATGGCAAATACTTTCCAATTCCATGCCTTAACTAAGTCTACGTAGGCTTTGGACAAAACGGATGGTTTTGGGTATAGATTAATGGAGAGGTCATCCCTTTGGAGCTGAAAATCCCAACGACTCTCGACGTGTGGTATTTCCAACGCATCGCATATGGATTGGGTGTGCGTTGACACCGGACTCACACTCAACGGTCCGAACAGAGCCACCACTCCGTTGGACAGCAGTGAACACACTGTACACCAAAACATACAATCAATTCATCAATTCATTGCATTCAACAATCTTTGCTCACTAAGTATTATATATACCTATCATAAGTGTATTTCAATTTTCTGGGCTCACTATATGACAAACATAGCTCACTATATGAAGGAGACGTTCAATTTGGTTCAAAATTTGAGGAGGTGTTGGGGAAGGATTGAGATTCAATCTGATATACATTTTTATTACATTTTGGATTAAAACTCTGGGAATGAGAGACTTTGAAAGTAAAAAATTGTTGTATTTTTAATAAAAACTAATTTACATGGTGTTTGAAAATAATGGATATTAATGTTATTTATCATTTTATAATAACTTTTACTAGGTATTTTACTAAAATCAAACATTTTATATAATTTCCAAAGAATATTTTAGTAGTTTACATAACAGAAACTATTTATTAAATAAATTTTTATTTATAATAGTATAAATATTATCATGTTTTATTAATTTTTTCAAAGGTCTGTGCATCAAATTAAATTATATTTACGCAAATTACGCACACATTTATTGCACATATCCTATAAAATTTTCACCGAGTTCGGATAACATTTTGAAATTTTAAACAATGAATATTTGTGTGTACTGTAAAAACAACAACTTTTGACTTTCAAAATCTCCTTTTATAAGTCTAATTGAAATGGAATAAAAATGAATCAAGTTGAACTGTTGAACCTGGACTCTTTCCCAACACCTCATCAAATTTTCATCCAATTTGGACGCCTTACTCATACAGTAAACCCCATATTTGTCGGCCCAGCAAATTGAAATGCACTGTATATGGGCCACAATTAGCCACATTAACAGTAAGTCATGTGATTTGAAAGGACCAGGATTAGTTCAATCAGTGAATACATAATATATTAACATTCAACATTTACAATATTAACTAATATTACTAATGTAAATTAATATAACTAATACTAAATAGTAAACCTCATTCACACCACTTGACTTACTGTTAAGCAGCTGACTAATTGCGGCACATACTGTATACTGTATTATACACAGTATGTATAAGTTATAAGTTGTATACAGTATAGAGCAGTATAGAGTTCTGTATAAAGCAATCAAAAATAATATGCAATACTGTAGTCATAATTTGAAGAAAATCGAAACTAAGAATAAGAATGAATACCATATAATAAAAGCAAATATTAGAAAAACTGTCATTTAATGCCTGGAGTCTTAAAAATGTGTTTCCCTTCCCTTCCCTTCTTTTCATTTCCTTTCTTTTCCTTTTGGTTCAAACATTCTTATCTAAAGTGAAGCAAAATTTGGGGAAATTTCAAAACGACTTAATTTATTATCTTTTTAGTTAAACTAAAAATTGATTTTCAATTTATTTCCTTTTAAATGGAGTAAACATTTGGGTTTGAATTCATTTTATTTATAAAAGAATTATTGTATGCATTAGCCAACCCCAACCCCAACCCCAACCCCAACCCCAACCCCAACCCTAGTTTTATATTTCAAAAGCCAAATGAATCTCACTATGAAAAGCCAGTTTATTAATAATCCTTATACACAATTTTTTGTTTAAAAAAATTAAATTCATCTATTAATTTCAATTAACCCTTTAAATAAATTAATATTATCTAGATTCTAAATGTACAAGTAGGATATACTGTATTTTGTAAGTAAATATTCTAGGTCACTACCCCTCCCTTAAAATGTACAGTATTTACTTTTATGTGTTTGTGAATGGTCAATCAGTCCCATTGTATTATAGATATTGTTTGTTTGTATTGCTATTTTTAAAGCTGATTTATTTGGGACATATTCAATTTTCAGTATTATTAATTATATCAATATTAATGCCAAAATACTATAATATATATGTGTAAGTATAATATATAAATGTGAAATCAAATATCATTAATCACAATTACATTATAAATAATATGTTTGTATAGTATTCTATATTTACTGAATAGCAATTACAGTTGGTCATAAATTAGCATCTTCATATAGAATACAATTATATGACAGTTATAGTTTAATTCAATTATTTCAATATAATTTTATTGCTTTAATATTTATATAAAATTGTTTCCATAATTTGACAATTTTTGTCACACTTGCTGCAAGTGAGTCAATGACTCAACTTTGCCTGACAACATTTTTAAATTTATAGTAACTTATTTTTATTTGTATATTATTTAATAAAACATATTTTAAAATTATAAAATTATTGATAAAATATAAAAATAACTAAATAATAATTCTATAAAAATAAATGTAATAAAATAAAATACATTTTATAGTATTTATTAATTATAATTGTATTTTCAAATTTTTAAATAAAATATATGAATTAAAAGATCAAACAGAGGCATATGTCTGAAACTTAGTAATGCATTGGTTTTCACATTTAATATACAGGATAATTTGGAAAGTATATCAAAAATGACTAATTCCTATTGAAAATTGTATATTAAATGTGAAAACCAAAGCATTACTAAGTTTCAGACATATGCCTTTGTTTGATCTTTTAATTCATATTATTAAAATAAAGTAAATATTGTGTATATAAACTCAAAAAACTAACTATCTTTACGCTATAGAAATGAAATCCTCCAAAACGGAAAATGCAATCCTAATCCTCTCTTCACAGTTGTATGGCCTCTACTTTGCAGATTTGTACAAATATTTTTTATTGAATTTAAATCTACCATGATAACTGCGCTATTTATGTTTTCAAAAAGAGGGTTTTCCATTGAAATACATTAGATTTGGTCATAAAAAATGCTTTAATAGAAAACTGGTGTTTGTAAACACCATTTACCCCTAAACTAACCAGGATAAAATTAATCTATTTAATGGGAATTTGTATAATTTGGTTTTGATTATTTTCTCGAACACATGATGTCTATACTCCACGTTTAAGGCAATAAATAATCAGTTTTTTACAGAAAAAACTGCACTAGATAAAATTAATCTGATAATTGGATTTGAAAGATAATTCCAAATGAGCGAGCACCTATTTGGGGATTTTTTAATTAACATTAAATTTAAATTTTTAATTAAAGAATTTAATGTTTAAAACAAAGTTTTACATAAATGTACACAATAAGATTGTAATTAATAAGAATTTTAATAAAGATAATTAGTTTTTTCGAGTGTATATAATTAAAATGATACTGTATTATTATATAATATTGTATTTTGAACTTGAATGAATGCTACATTGAAAAGCTAAATACAAATAATTATAATGAGTACAGTATTTATGGGATGATTGATCTTAAAGACAAATATTGACATCAATTAATAGTTATATAGAATATAAGGGCAACGAAGCCATTATTGTATGCAATACTGCAAACAAATACGTTCTTAGAGTTGCCATTCCTGCCATTCCTTGTTATAATACCAGTGCTAACATAACACTACAAGTTGCGAGTTAATTGTATAGATAATGGCTATGTATTACAAATACTCATTTCATACAATGCATTGGAAATGTTTTGCTAACATCCTTATTGATCTGAGACTTAATTTAATTACTGTTAATAACAATATATTTGTGTTGCACTTACTATATGCTTGAATACAATGTATAGCAGTGTTGTAGTCTATACTCTGCTGTACGGTATATTGAGTATGACTTGCTTTCATAACACATTCTGTAGTGCAGTTCAGCCTATGTCTCAATTCTGTGCACATATTGTATTGTATTTAATATTTATGTTACAAGAATTTTATCAATTTTATAAATAATCATATTTATTACAATAAATGACACAAATATGACTATTTATTTTTAAACATAAATTAATATTGATTATTTTAAGAATCCCTACTTACTGTTAGTATTATAATGAAAAAGGAATAGACATTATATAAAATAAATTGATAAAATAAAACAAGTCTTAATATGTATGGAAAGAGAGACTTAAATATTTGTGTTCATATGATATAGCAATTCGTAACAAATGGCTGTGTATTAAACTTGTAGTTATGATCTGGTTATACCTCATAATGTGATTAATGGTATGTTTGCACAGAATTGCAAGGAATGACTGTTGAGAGAGTAAATCCAAAATTGATTTATTAGATTTAATTTAATGCTCTCTACACAATATAGGTTGCATTTATTATTAGTTAATACAGTATATTGTAACACAAAACTAACACTTAATATATAAAATACTGTAGTATCGTAGATATACTCACTCAACAGTACGTGTATTATAGTTAAGGGAACAGTATAATAGAACCCAGTACAAATGTACAGTAATGTGTAGTAAAGGCAATATTGTGGGCACAGAATATACCGTATAATATAAGAGATAAGTACTGTATACTGTGTATACTATACTGAATATATAGTATGTTTGCGTTTTATGTAATCTAAGAACTAATACATGAGATTTCACTCTTGGCCAAACATGAAAACATTAAATTACTTTCGTTTTATCACAGTTACTCATACAGTATATCATGTTTTTAAAATCAATTATTCGTTCATCACATTCAATGATTACTGTACTGAATTCATAACTTTAATATAATATTGTATTTATAGGTAGTAATCATTTATTCATAGAATATATTATACAAAATCTCATAATATTATATTTGCAATACTATCTGTATTGTACTGTATTGTAGAATAAATAATGAATTCTAACTGTAGTGTAAACTGAAGATATCGTTGTTTGGGACAAATGGACTATATGACAAATGTACTTTAAAAGTAGCTTTTCAAAAATAATACTAATATTAATAATTAATACAATTATTGTAAAAATGAATAATTTTAATATTAATATATTTTTGTAAAAAGCTACTTTAAAAGTACATTTCTCATATGTATACAATATGTATACATACTTTCTATCTCTGAGCAAGTTTAAAAGATTAAAATTAGTTATTTTAAGGTTATTTTCAGAATTCAGGTATACTGTAATATTTTCATAGAGTTAAGAATATATGAGGAGTTTTCCATAAAAGAGACTTACAAAAGAGAATTGTTAGAGATTATTCATAAAAACTCTAAAACTTTAAACAAAACACATTTTAATGGTAAGCCTATGTATCGGTACAGT